TATGGGGTCCGGAGCATCTCTGTGTCCAAAATACAGTCCCAGCCAATCATTCGTCCTTCCCCCAAAGGCCCATGACTCCCCATCGCCTTCTATGTGGTCCAAGATCCTTAGCTGGGTTTCAAGACCCTTCACACCCAGCCCAGGGCCTGGTGCGTGGAGGTGCTCCGGGACTACCCGGCAGTGAGTGGACCCTTCTCTGGCCCATCCTTCTCCCTGGTGCTCCTCTCAGGTACTCGGGACACATTTCAGCCGTATCAGTCTGCGCGCTATCTCCCAAGCACCCAGGGACTCAGTTGCTCTCTTCAGACCTCTGCCTGCGGTGCTGTCGCTTCCCCACTGAGTGTTCTTCACAATTTCCCTTCTGGCTATGTCCTCCCTAGAAACCTTGCTTGGCTTCCCAGGCAGAACCACACATCTGCACCCAAAAGATGATACTGTGTGTGAGTGGCTAAAGGTGTGACTTCTGGAGCCAGGCTGCCTGGGCTCTAAAATCTAGCTCTACTCCTCACTAGCTGTGTGGCCTTGGGCAAATGTGACCTTTGGTGCTCTTTGCCTCCGTTTTCTCATCTGTGAAATGGGGATGACAGTAATACCTCCTTATAAGGTTGTTGGAGGAAGAAACGCGTTGCTATTTATGACATCCTTAGAGCAGAGCCTGTGGGAGTTTTCTGATGTTGACTGAAGACCGAGTAATATTTGAAGGTCTTCCCACATTCACTGTTGGAAAATATATAACATTTTCCTCCAATAGGAATTTTCTAGTGCTCACAGAGGAATGAATTGTTAGCAGTGCCCTCTCAAGTCGCTGATGGGGACTCCGCATTCACGGATAGCTGCCCCAGGATGAGTCTTCTGATATTCAGACATGTTTTGTCTAAATGATTTCCCATACATGGCCCGTTCATGGGGTTGCTCTCCTGAGGCTGGCTTGATGACTTTGTTGAGTTATTTAGGATCGCCGAGTCTCAGGTTTCTCCTCTGAAAAAATGGGAATACTTAGGTGGAATAATATAATATCCTAACGTGTGTGAAGTGCATATGTAACGGCACCTCGCTCATAGGGAGAACTTAATGCACGGCGGATGTGGAGCTTGGTGGGTGTCTCTAACTTGGTCTGTTGTCAACGGGGACCATGATTGCTTACCTTAATGCCCCCCCGCCCAGAGCCTGGCTGTGGTAGGGCCAGTGTGACTGTGGATAAGCAAATAGTAAGTGGGAGAGCCTTTGGTCAAACCTGAGCCGATGCCTGTTCAGCTATCTCCTGGGTGTGTCAGTTATATTCCTGCCTCAGCTAATGGTGTCTAGGACCCTGTCCCTACGAAGCATTTTCTGAGCCCCGTGTTTATTGATCCTGAGAGCCAACGGGAACCATAGACAGATGAGCTCCCTGGAGTCCACTCACCTAGAGAAAAGGATCATTACCAACCACCATCTATTTAAACTTCATCCATACTCACTTTTGACTGATTCTCTCTGAGACCATTCATTCAACAACATTGAACCTGTATTTATGTATTGAGTACCTAGTGTGCCCCAGGCACCGTGCTATACCCCAGGGGTCAGTGTCAATAATGCAAATAAAACCTCTGTTCTCACTGAGGTGATATAAGTGAAGCAGAGGGTGAGAAAACAGACCATTACAAAGTGTGGGGCACCTGGGTGTGGGAGTTGGGGGGGTCTAACCCAGTCTTGAGGGGAGTCAGGGAAGGCTGCCTGGAAAAGGAGATAGCTGAGCAGACGTCACCGCACAGGAGTTCTCATCACTGGCACTGCAGGCCTGGGGAGGCATCAGAGGGATGTGGACTCTGGATTGTAAAATTGCAGAACCACAGAGTCTAACTTCAAAGGGTTCAGAGTCATAGGGTCCATGTCTCTACTTTCCTTACAATATTTTTTCCAGACTCTCTTTTCTCCAGCACTGGAGATCTGTCTTGTTAGGGAAGCCCTGGCAACTTTATAAAGTAATTTATGTTTATTGTACAAAGTGGAAAAATAAGAGATATAAAGAAGTAGGTGGGTGGGTGGGTGGAGGGAGTCTCAACCTCTGTTAATATTTAAGCATATGCCCTTTCCTTTTACTTTTTGTTTTGGCGGGGCGGGGGGGATTGTTTTTACTTTTATTTTTGAAATTTAGATATGCCCTGGCTGGTTTGGCTCAATGGATAAAGCAGCCTGTGGACTGAAGGATACTGGGTTCTATCTGTCAAGGGCGCATGCCCAGGTTGCACACTGGATCCCAGTAGGGGGTGTGCAGGAGGCAGCTGATCAACGATTCTCTCTCATCATTGATGTTTCCATCCCTCCCTCTCTGAAATCAATAAAAATATATTTAAAAAATAAAATAAAATTGAGATATAATTTACATACCGTAATAGTCACAATTTTAGTGCAAAATACCATAATAGTCCCAGTTTTAGCTTGTTCACAGGTTGTACAGCCATCACACTGTCTAATCCAGAACATTTTCATCACCCCGGAGAGGAACTCCTCTCCTTCAGCAATCACTTCTCACGTCCCCCTCGCGCCAGCCCCTGGCAAGCACTAATCTACTTTTTGTCTCTGTATACTTTCCTGTTCTGGACATTTCAGATAAATGGAATCAAACAGTGTATGGCCTTTCGTGACAAGCTTCTTTCACTTAAAATTTTCAAGGTTCATCCATGTTGTTCCATGAATCAGCACTTCATATCTTTTTGTGGCTGAATATGATTGTATGTATATATCACATTTAAAAATACATTCATCAACTCATTGATATTTGTTTTATCTTTTATGACTATTATGGATAATGCTGCTAAGAACATTTATGTACATATTTTTGTGTGAACATCTGTTTTCAGTTTTCTTGGGTGTATACCAGGAATGGAATTGCTGGGTCATAGGTTAACTCTATGCCTAACTTTTAGAGGAAATGCCAAACTGTTTTCCAAAGTGACTCCACCACATTACATTACCACCAGCAATATATGAGGGTTCCAGTTTCTCCACATCCTTGACAACTTGCTAGCTGTCATATTGATGATAGCCATACTCATGCGTGTGAAGTGGTGTCTCATTGCGATTTTGATTTGCATTTCCCTGGTGGCTGAGTATTATTTTTTGTAAACATTTTTATTGAATTAGAGCATATATCGTGTGAATTTTCAAGTGGTTCACTACAGCAATAGAGGAACACAGTTCAGCTTTTCTACTATCCTTCTTTTAATTATAGCTATTCTAGTGGATATGAAGTATCTCACTGTGGCTTTGATTTGCATTTCCTCAATGACTAGTGATGTTGAACAACATTTCAGGTGCTTATTGGCCACATGTATATCTTCTTTGGAGAGATGTCTATTCAAATCCATTGTCCATTTCTAATTGGGTTATTTGCTTGTTTATTATTGAATTGAAATAAGGTCTTCATATATCCTGGATACTAGACTCTGATCAGATACATGATTTGAAAACATTTTCTTCATTCTGTGGGTTGTCTTTTCACTTTCTTGACAGTGACCTTTGGAGCTCAAAAGTGTTTAATTTTGATGAAGTCAGTTTTATATATTTTTTCTTTAATTGCCTGTGATTTTGGTGTCAGATCTAAGAAAGCATTGCCTAATTCAAGGTCATGTTTTCTTCTAAGAGTTTTATAGTTGTTGCTCTTACATTGGGTCTTTGATCCATTTTTAATTCATTATTGTACACCATGTGAGCTAGTGAGTCTAGCTTCATTCTTTTGCCTGTGGATATCCAGTTGTCCCAGCATCACTTATTGAAGAGACTGTTTTTTCCCCCGTTGACTTGTCTTGGCTCCCTTGTCAAAAATCAATCGACTATAAATACATGGTTTATTTCTGGTCTCTCAATTCTGTTCCATTGATCTATGTCTATCTTTATGGAAGTATCACAAAGTCTTGATTACTATAGCCTTGTAGTAAACTGTGAATTCAGGAGTGAGAATCCTACCACTTTGTTCTATTTTTCTTTTTCAAAATTTTCTTTTCTTTTGGCTATTCTGGGTCATTTGCATTTCCACAAGAATTTGAGGACCAGCCTGTCACTTTCTGCAGAAAAGCCAGTGGGGATTTTGATAGGGATTGCATTAACTCTGTAGATCAATTTGAGGAGTGTTGCCATCTTATCTCTTTTTTTTTTGTATTTATTGAGTACAAATTGAGCTCATGACAAATGTATTATTTTGAATCATGATTTATTATGCTTAATATTCTATCATAGGCATTTCCCTGTGTTACGGAAGATGCAAACACAATTTCAGTGCAATGTAACATCCCATTGTCTGGCTGTACCACACGGGATTATAAACTCTCAGTTGTTGGGTAGTCTGTCATGGAAGGTACTTTGTTCTGGGTCCCTCGTGGTGCAGGTCTCTTCCTATAGGCACAAATGAACAGTGGGAGGACTGGTGGTTCACTGAACAACAGCAGACTATTAGTGTAAAGTTGGTCAACAGGTGGGCCATGGGGCTATCTGGAGAAGCCAACATCCTGGTTCATGGAGAGGTGACCTGCCTCCAAGAAAAACGAATACAGTGGACATGCACCAGCCCTTAATGCTCTGCCTAGAAATGAGATGTGACACTTCTACTCCTGTTTCATTAGCTAGAGCAAGCCACACGGGCATGCCTGACTTCATAGGACTGGAGAAATTTGCCTGGATTTGGAGGGGGTTGGAGTATTGGTAAATATAGTAATATCTACTATACCCTTGCTACCTGTACCTCATGCTTATATATTCTATTCCATTAAACCAACAATAGCAAAGTGCTGGTGGCAGTTCTTTAAGTTGACTTCATTATCATCTAATGGGTTGTGATCCTTGGTTTGAAAAACATCGCTCTATCGACTTTCTTCTGCCCATGTCTCATGGACCATATGGCACACCCTAGGCAGAGCTGATTGGCCCGGGCATGGGACACCTGACCAAAGTTGGCCAATGAAATTTCTCTCCTGGGAATTGGAATTGGGCCATTCAGCAGTTAACAGTGGGAAGTGAGTGAGAGGCAGAGTAGGAAGAGGGTCAGAGTGAGAGCCAGACGCAAGCCCAAATGATGGGGAAGCAGAAAAGCCCCGAGTAAGCAGAGAGAGTTGGTCCACAGAGACAATGGAGCAGCCGCACAGAGAGCAGTGCAGCCGGGAGAACATGCAGCCCCACAGGGAGAGGTGGAGAGAGAGAGCAACCGTCTGAGAGGCTGATGGCATCCCCGATCCTGGCTCCGGCACCAGTGCATCCTGCCGGCACATTCTTCCCGTGAGATTTTTTGTCTCCTTATCATACCCCCTCCTCCTTTTCCAGAGCGACCCTCGGTGGGTTTCCGTTCCTTGTCTCCAGTGAGCCTTAGTCAGCTAGAGCACCCCGGGTGTGTTCTGTATGGGACCTGGCTTGAACTCTGAGAACCAGGCTGGTGGGGCATAGACGGGACTCGGGTGGGGGTCGGGGGGCGGGTAAACCAGACCCAGCCATCCCACAGTCTGGAAGTTTGGCTTGGACCACAGTCTTGTGGGTTTGTGTTTGCTCTTCAAAATGGACGGGCAGAAGCCTTCTGTGTGGTGCTGCACATATGGGGGTCCCAGGACCTGGAAGTCCCCCACGGGGCCCGTTTGCTGACAGCATTGGGGTCAGGAAGCTGGTGGAGTTGCTTCAGGGAGGGTTTGATTGTGTGACAGGTGGAAACGTAGCCGCAGTTCGCCTGTCTGACCCTTGGTTTTTCCATCTCAGAAATGGGATTGTGGAGGGCTCAGCAGTGTTTCTGGAAGAATACTTCGAGACGTGACTAGCCCTTAACATGCTCTCAGGTCACGGGCAGTGGCTGCTGTTGTTTGAGGAAACCATCAGCAGCTCAGCTCCCTGAGGAGGTGGCCTCAGGGGCTGACTGAGTCAGTGACAGCATTCCCCACCCCTGGCTATGCTTCCTGCTTCTGGTCACCCTCCTTCTCCCCCTCACCTTGACTGGCCCTTTCATTTCTCCCCTCCCCTCTCCTGCCCTCATTTCCCCTCTTTTCTGCTTCTGATCTGGATAAAAGCACCTGCTGTAGAAAGCAGCAGTGCTGATAGAAAGCACCCGCTTCTAGAGGCAGAACTGGGTCTGGATCCTGACATAGCCCCTGGCTTGCTCTGCGTTCCTGGGCAAGTTACGACATCTCTCTGCACCCCTCGTTTATTATCTATAAAACAGAGGCTATAATGCTCATTTTACAGCGCTGTTAGGAGAAACAATTAACTAGGCACTTAGCAAATTCGAGTTCCTTCCTAACTCCCTTCCTCCCTTTTTTATTATCTCAGCCTGGCCCTCAGCCCCCTTCTGTGCCCAGGATGTCACTGTCCCTCTCAGGGATCTCTGGTCCCCTCTGCAGGTCCAGCCCAACTTGGGAGCTGCTAGTTCAAACCATGTGATCTGAATTTCTTTCTTTTTATTTTTTTATTTTATCACTTTAGCAGTTATTACACTCCAGCTGACTGTGGCATCTTCACACTCCAAATACTGATAAATATTTATGAGGAGGAGAAAAGCTCAGAACTCCTAGGGGAGGTGGGGGAGGAGTGTGCCAGGCCCTTCCTTGCAAACCACGCTCAGACTCAGCTGTGGTCCCTTGAGCCCCAGAATAAGGGGTAGGTGTGGGGGGCAGGGCTATGGAGGCAACACAAAGCCTCTTCCACTCCCCTTTTTGGAGGAATGACTGTTGCTGTGACACGGTGGCCTCACCCTGCCTGGCCCTGGATGCCTGATGGGCCTCCTGCTCCTGGGGAAGGATTTGGGCTGTGCGATCCCTCTTGGCTGCGTGTGGGCCTGCTCCACGGCCCTGAGTCTGCTCCATCTCTCTCTGCTTCTGACTGTTTCTTTCTCCCTCTTTCTGTTTTTTTGTTTGCTTTTTCATTTCTAATTCTATCCTTTAAAAAAATCCTCATCCAAGGATAATTTTCCATTGACTTTTATAAATAGTGGAAGGGAGAGGGCGAGAGAGAGAGAGAAACATTGATGTGAGAGAGACACATCGATTGGTTGCCTCCTGCATGTGCTAGGGCCAGGGATCGAGGTTGCAACTGAAGTCTGTGCCCTTGACTGGAATCGAACCTGGGACCCTTCAGTCAATAGGCCGATGCTCTATCTACTGAGCCAAATCGGCTAGGGCTCTAATTCCATCTTTTATTTTCACACCTGCCAGGCCATGTCTCTCTCCTGCTCTCTCCCTCCTCCAGCATGTTCTCTTATCCCCTGCGTCTCTGTCTCTCTCACTTTTCTTCTCTCCCTCCCAACATTATTCTGATGGGGGATAGGCGAGGGGGTCTCAGGCTCCCACACCCAGCTGTGGGGCAGAGGGCAGGGGAGCTGCCGCAGACTGCAGTGTGCTTCGGAAGGCAGAGTGAGCACTTGGCGGAGTCCGGGACCAGGCCTCTGCCTGACTATATCCAGGGCTCTTCTGTGTGGCCATGGGCACATCCCTTCCCTTTCCTGGGCCTCAGTTTCTCAGCTAATTCCTTCACTAGTTCATTCACTCACCCACTCAACTCATATTTAGTGGGTCCTTGCTACCTACCATTCATGAACACATTTATTCAACACCTACTAGGTGCACTCTTCTAGGCACTTGGGACGCATCAGTGAAGAAGAGAGACAAAGATGCCAGCCCTGGTGGAGCTGACACGTTAGCAGAGCAGACAGGCATGTGTGTAATCAGCAGTTACAGAGTAGGTTAAAGAGAGTGCAGAACGAGAGAAGGAGCGGGAGTGTGGGGGCACAGGGTGAAGGCCGGGCCCTTAGGCTGGGCCACAGCTCTATGGGGGGAGAGTGCCCCGAGGGAGGAGACTGCTAGAGCGAAGGCCCTGAGGCAGGAAGTAGAGTTGGAGGAACAGCAAGGAGGCCCTGAGGCTGGAGGAGTGAGGGAGGGAAGTGGGAGTTGATGCTGGGAGGTGGAGGAGGCAGGGCGGCTCTCAGACAGGACTTGTCCTCTGCGTGAACTGGGCGGAGTTTGAGCGGGCGAGGGCATGGTCTGACTTACACCTGCTGGTTGAAGAACAGACTGCAGGGCCCTGGCCAGAGCCCCCGGAGAGCTGTCATGGCAGTCACAGACCGCGGGCCATAGTTTGCCCACGGCTGGCTTAGACGGTGCCTAGAAACGGCTCCAGGCCCCTTGTCCTCGGTCCTGCAGGAGCCTTCCCCAGGGTGCAACGTGCTATCCCTCTTTCTCTCCACAGGGTGTTCAAGAAGGCGAGCCCAAATGGAAAGGTGAGTCTGCAGCAGCTGCACCCCAGCTCCTCCCTGACCCCGAACTCTTGTCCTCCCTTGGGCATGTCTACACTGACCATGCAGGATCCCCCACACCCTCATCGGAGGCCCTTAGGAGCCTTCGCCACAGCGGGAGGGGTCTCCTCAGGCGTCTCCCCAGGACTCTCAGGAGCCCCTGCTCTGGGGTGGGGAGATGCAGCCAACCACAGAGAGAGTTCAGCTGAGTGCAGTCACTGGAGTAGGTCCCAGGGCCTCAGGGCACTGCCCCCGCCTCCCCCGTGTGAGAGGCCCTGGAGCCTTCTCTGCT